CTGCTGGGCAGGGGCAGAGGCCGGGAGCTGGCCTCTGAGTTGGCATTGCCAGTGCCCACCCCCCGCTGCCCTCTCATGCAGCTGACCCAGGGAGCCTGAGTAGGGCCAAGCTGGCCCCCAGGGCCTCACAGACAAGAGGACAGGCAGAGGTGAGGCAGCCCTGACCCCGGGGGCCCCGGCGAGCCCTCACCCACACCACCAACCACCTCTGGCCAGGGAGGTGCCGGCAGGCTGTGCCCTCACAGTCCGAGTGGCGGCTGGGGGGAGGTGCTGTCCCCTCCGCCCCCCACCCACTAGGCACTCACCTGCTGGCAGCTGGGGGAGGGGGAGCAGGGAGCCTCGGCCATCTTCCCTCCGGCTGTTCCAGACAGGACCTGCAGGCGTCAGGCTGGAGTGAGGGTCAGGCCGGGGTGGGGCCTCGCAGGGGGTGGGGTGCTTGGCAGAAGCTGGTCTTCGGCTCCTGACCTGACCCCAGTCCAGGGGGCACCCCCAGGTGGACATAAACACCTGTTTGGGCAGTGCGAAGGGTGCCCCCCCAAAGGCCACAGCCTGGAGCCCCCCAGGGTCCCCTCTGCACCCCACAACGCCAGGGGAACAGGAAGGAGGCTCTGACCATAGCGAGGCAGCTGTCCCGTGGGCAGCGCCCCCGGCTCCCCTCCCCGTGTTCTCTGAAGGGGCGTGAGCCAGGGAGGCCCAGACCCTCGCCTGCCACCCCGTGGCATAGTCCTCCTGGTCAGAGGACACAGGCCCCACCCCTGCCGTGGGGTTCCCGCTCTCAGCTGTTCACAGTTGAGGGAAGGTCTACAACCAAAGCCTCCGAGATGCCCCCCAGCATGACTCCCTGCCGCTCTCGGTCATGTTGGCGCCTCGGGCAGCCGCTGGGAGGGCTGCTCCCGTCTCGTGGGGGAGGGCTGAGGACCCGACGTCCGTCCCATCCAGCACGGCTGTCAGCAGCGGGCCACTTTCCTCCGGCCCGGCCTTCATCACGGCTGCTCAAAGCTGTCCTCCTCAATGGCAGACCCCCCAGTGGCTCTGGAGGCCTCCAGCTGCCTCTGCCCGCCCCTCCCCAGCCCTCAGGCCAGGCTCAGGCTCTCCTCCGGTGGGTCTGAGGGGAGGGGGCTTCCTGGGATCCGGCCCCCAAGCCCCGCGTGCCTCTGCCTCAGGTGCCCCCGTGGGCCCTGCCTGGTCCCTGGGGTCTTGGGGGAGGAGGGAGGCTAAGGCAGGGGTGGGTCAGAGCCTAGAGGGCAGACGAGAGAGTGGGCCGGGCTGTGACCTGGACACTGACCCTCTGCGTGCTGCCAGCGCCGGGCGTGGCGGCCAGGGTGCGGTGGTCCAGCTTCAGGCCCTCCGGGCCCCGACCCTGGGGAGCAGAGTAGACAGTGGTGTGAAAGGCCGTGTCTGCACCTGAGTGTGGGACAGGTCGCCGCCAGGGGAAGGGAGGGCCTGGTGGGCATCTGGGCCGCTGCCTACTGTCCACCCTGGCACCCTGCGGCGCCCCAGGCCCGAGTGTGAAGGGAAGCCTAGCGTACGGGGCAGGGACACCTGGACACTCACCACAGCTTCCAGTCCCCACTGTGGGGTCTGTCCTGGTAGCTCCTTCTCCTATGAGCAGAGAAGGCACTAGTCAGGGACCACCGGCCTCAGGCTCCGCGCCCACCCCTCCCCCCACCCCGCCCCCTGGGGCTGAACTGCAGGTGGTTCTGACCTTGCCAGAGCCCTCGGGGCTCAGCTCCCGGTCGACGGAGGAGATGCTCTCCAGGCTGTTCCGGCGGCCGATTCCTGCCGCGAAGGGGTTGGCAATGACACCCGGGGACACCTAAGGAGAGACGTGGGCTAAGGGCGGGACCCCCGGTCTCGGGGGTCCCCTCTGCAGGTAGGCTGAACCTGCCAGCGACCCATATGGCTGAGGCGGCCTCTGGGGTGGGCAGATCCGTGACCGGGTACTGCCGGCACCCCGGACGTTGTGCCGTCACTGCATCTGCCTCAGAACATGGATGCACGTCACGAGCACCAGAGGCCATTCTGACACGTGGCAGGAGGCAGGGGAGGCTGACCGTGTACACTCAGCCCGGGAAGCAGGTGACAACACCGAGATGGGGTGGGGATGGGGGGCACCGGGCAGGGGTGCCTGGCGGCACAAAGCCTCTTCCGACTCACAGGCTGCTTCTGGAATCTGCAGCGCGAGCGCCCAGAAAGCATTCTGAAACAAAGGACACAATGCAGGAGGAAGCCCGGCAGCTCGGGGTGGTAAGGGGGGCGGGCACCGTCTCCCGCCAGGTACCGGCCGGCAGAGCAGTGGGAGGAAGGAGGGTAAGAGCGTACGGTCTGTCCCCAAACTGTGCTTTAACCGTGGGCCCCGAGGGTGAACACAGGTGGGCGGAAACACGGGAAGGGCTCACTCCAATCCCACGAGAGACAAGAGGGGGATCTCAGCCGTGAACAGCAGCAGGAACCGGAGGGGAGGCACGGAGACTCCCCTCGGTGTGAACGGCTCCCGCTGACGGGGGCGGCTGTCGGTGTGGGCCAAAACACCTATCCGGCTGCGGCCGACACTCAGAAAGCCGGAGTGAAGGGGTGAGTGAGGGGAGGGCAGAGAGGTGCCAGCCACATGGAGAGCGAGGACAGGGGGTGCCCACAGCAGAGAAGAGGGGCTCAAGGATGGAAACAACGGACAGACAGGGACGCTGTCATGACGAACGGAGCCATCCATGAGGCAGGTATGACAACACGAACTGGGCGCCGGACAGGCAAGAGGCTAGAGGGGGAGAGTGGAGTCTGCTAGGAACGCGGGCTCGACAGAAACCCTGCAGCGGGAGACCCCCAACTGGGACTGAGATTCTGACAACAGTGGAAGATGTAACAGACGCTAAGGAGCCCACCTTCTCACCTTCTGGAACATGGCAGTCAGAAGGCCGCAGGCGGGCCTGAGAGAGGCGGGGCCCTCAGACCAGGGAGCACAGTCGCGCACGGGGACTGAGCGGAAAGCACAAGCGGCAAGGCGGCCGGGTCCGTCGTGGCAGAGGAGGCCACGTACACAGGGAGGGGCCGGCCTGGGAGGCCACTGGGATGGTGGATGACGACGTGAACTCCTGCTTTTCCACAGTCAGAGACACAAATGTCAACACGCACCCACTCACGGAAGAGCCCGTCCGCCGAGAGGCGCGGAGGCCACGAGCACACCTGGGGCCCAGATCTTGGCTTCTAAATACCACTTTCCGCTAACAGGAACGAGCACTCCTTGGAGGAATGTGCCGCAGAGTCGGGCGGGAGAACATGAGATGAGCCCAGAGTGACCCGTTGTGCCGGAAACTAGGTTGCTCCAAGGATCGTGGGCCAGCTTAGAGGGGCTGGCGGGGAGCCCCTTCCATCGGCCAAGTCCAGGGCTACTGGAGCATGAAAGCAGCGGCCATGGCGACAAACCATCACCCGTGAAACAACGTGGAGGCCAGTGAGTCTGCGATCGGGGCAGGCGGGGGAGTATCTAACTGCAGAGAAGGGGGAGCCCCTCCTGGCAGCACAAGGCCGACCGACAAACGCGGGAGGAGCAAGTTCAGAATGTCATCACTGGCAACGACCGCGACACTGACGCCAGAGATCCCTGCAGGCGCTAGAGTTGGCGGCGGACACGGGACGAGTGACGGACATTCAGACACTCCCAACGTCCCCCCACACGATACTGATTTCAAAGGGAAAAGAGTCACTTTGCAGTGAGGACACCTGCAGACAGCACTGTGGAGACCGCGGGTGACGGGCCAGACCGCCATCTGTGCGCCCTGCCAGGAGGCTCTGGGGGGACAGGGGTCAGCCTGCGGGGAGCGGCCACGGGCCACGAGGTCAGGGTCGGGGAGACTGCAGAGACGCGGCCACCAGGCTCCCACCCGCGCACTCCCGCACTGAGCCCTCTGCGACGAGAGACGCCGGGGACCGTGGGGGAGGCGCACACACGGCCTCTGAGCGAGAGATTCTCTGGCCTGTTCTCGCTTTTTTCCAAATTTAAAATCATTTTATGTATTTGCGCATATTTTTCAAAAAGAAATCATGGCAGACTGACCCCAGACTGACACACCTGGTGGCCTGCAGGGACAGAAGTCCGACTCCTCAAAGTGCTGTTTGTAGTTTTGGCTTTGGGACCACGTAAAGACTCACACTAACACAAAAGAGCAGTTTAAAACCATCCCTAAACACCGAGAATGAGGAAGCCCAGCTGCCTACCAGGCTGGCAGCATAACAACACGACGAGTTATTCCAAGTCACTTAGAACACAGTATTGGGATCATACACCCTAGTAAGTAAATCTTTTTTTTTTTTTTTTTAATTTATTTTTGACAGAGAGAGAGAGACAGAGCATGAGCAGGGAAGGGGCAGAGAGGGAGAGAGACACAGAATCCGAAACACGCTCCAGGCTCTGAGCTGTCAGCACAGAGCCCGATGCAGGGCTTGAAATCACAGACCGCAAGATCGTGACCTGAGCCAAAGTCGGACGCTCAACCGACTGAGCCACTCAGGCGCCCCATAAATCTTAAGAACTCGGGGAAATCTTAACTTGCTCTCAACGACCTTGGTATTAACAGCTTCAGAACTATTGAACATAATAACAATACTTAAAGTTTTGATAGAAAAGAGACACAAATATAAAATCAGAAGTAAAAACCCTGCAAACTTAATTACGAATTAAAAATAACAGTACAGTGGGACGCCTGGGTGGCTCAGTT